TATGAATCGGTCCCTCAGTAATACCCCTGCTATGTAGTGAGAATTTTTTTTTCTTTATTTGCTGTATGAGGAGAAAGCAAGAGGAAGAAGGGGATTTATATTTCCCTATGGAACTAATGATGCAGGCTCTGGTTTGGGGAGGGCTGAGAGATCTTTCCTTCATGTATTCCTGGAATGCAGACACGATAGTGGTGTAGACTGCAGCCTTATTATTCCTCCATCTGAAATTCTCTGTGACCTGCCTTGCTCTGATCTCCACCTGTTTTGATGCAGGTGATGTCATTACAAACCAGCACATTAAAAATTCCACATTATATGTGGAATAAGGTTGTGGTCTTTTGATTATTGTGTCAAACCAACCGTATAGCTTTCTTTGACAGGGTAACAAGCCTTATGGGTAGGGAAGAAGCGATAGATGTGGAATATCTTGACTTTAGTAAGGCTTTTGATACTGTCTTGCATGACCTTCTCATAAACAAACTAGGGAAATACCACCTAGATGAAGCTACTCTAAGATAAGCACATAACTGGTTGGAAAACCATCCCAGAGAGTAATTAGCAGTGGCTCACAGTCGAGCATGCAGGGATCAGTTCTTTCCGGTCATTTTAAATATCTTCATCAGTGATTTAAATAATGGCATAGAGTGTACACTTATAAAGTTTGCAGATGATACCAAGCTGGGAGGGTTTGCAAGTGCTTTGGAGGATAGGGTTAAAAATCAAAATGATCTGGACAACTGGAGAAATGGTCTGAAGTAAATAGAATGAAATTCAATAAGGACAAATGCAAAATACTCCACTTAGGAAGGAACCATCAGTTGCACACATACAAAATGGGAAATTACTACCTCGGAAGGAGTACTGCGGAAAGGGATCTGGGGTTCATAGTGGACCACAAGCTAAATATGAGTCAACAGTATAACACTGCTGCAAAAAAAAAATCATTCTGGGATGTATTAGCAGGAGTGTTGTAAGCAGGACCCGAGAAGTAATTCTTCCGCTCTACTCTGTGCTAATATGGCCTCAACTGGAGTATTGTGTCCAGTTCTGGGCACCACATTTCAGGAAGGGTGTGGACAAATTGGAAAGAGTCCAGAGAAGAGCAACAAAAATGATTAAAGGTCTAGAAAACATGACTTATGAGGGAAGATTGAAAAAATTGGGAGAAGAGAAGACTGAGAGGAAACATGATAACCGGTTTCAAAGTTAACAGGTTGTTAAAATAAAAGGTTGTTACAAGGAGGAGGGAGAAAAATTGTTCTCGTTAACCTCTGAAGATAGGACAAGAAGCAATGGGCTTAAATTGCAACAGGGAGTTTTAGGTTGGACATTAGGAAAAACTTCCTGTCAGGGTGGGTAAGCACTGGAATAAATTGCATAGGGAGGTTGTGGAATCTTCATCACTGGAGATTTTTAAGAACAGGTTAGACAAACACCTGTCAGGGATGGTCTAGATAATACTTAGTCCTGCCATGAGCGCAGGGCACTGAACTAGATGACCTCTTGAGGTCCCTTCCAGTCCTATGATTCCATGATTAGGGCAACAGGACACCCTAGGGGAAATAAACAATCTCCCTGGAGTTTTTTTTTAGGGAACTGAAAACATTTAAAGAGACTGGCATATTTGTGTCCTGAATGACCCTATTCTGTATTTGGCATCAGTCTAACTTAATATTTAGAATTTGGCCATTCTCAGGCCCCAGTCCCACAAAACATGCGTATAGCTACCTTCACACATGAGTAGCGTGAGAATGGGATTGCACGTGTGTGAAGTTACTCAAGTGTGTAAGTGTCTGCAGAATTGTGTCCTTCAGTGACCTCATTCTTATCCTTGTACTTTTTTATCATAGAACTACTCTGTTTTAATCAGATTCCAGTTTCCTCATTGGGTTTTTGGGTTGGTGGTGGTTTTTGTTTAGCAGTAGAAAGGAAAGCCATGAAAAACTACCCTTAACATTTCCAGAAACTAATCTATCTTTCTTTCTTAACAGATTGTGATAATGGGTTTGAAATTGGTCTTACCATCTTAAGAATAAATATTAGAATTATAATTGCTAATGCTATGATACATAATTTGCATTTATTATAGCTAATAAAACAGGTAATTAATTGAGCTGTAATGGGTTAAGTCATCAGGAACTTCAGCTGCAGAAAGATTTATTGCTGTATTCTCAGTAACATCTTGAATATAAAGAACAGGCTGTACAGAGAGGGCCTTCAGTTCCAGGACAGTTTAATCAGGGAGCATTGCCCGTTCCTCCTCAGCTACTTTCCGTTGCATATGTTTTGCACAGTCGGCATAAATTAAGCAATTGTGTGTATGCCTTTTTCATAAAGGTGAAAAATATGTACTTCTATTCCCCATAGCCATGCATGAAATAAGTACTATAGAGCTCAAGCTAAGCCAAGCCACATGTGTATGCATGTCCATGCATTTTCTAAATCAGAAGGGCAGGACATCATACAGAGCATACAACCACCAGGGTGCATTGAAGTTCAAAATGGGCCTGAGATAATGTTGATGGAATAGGATGTAGTCACAGGATAATGGTCTCCTGCTGCTAGATTAAAGCCTGGGCAAAGCGGAGCCCTTGCAACAAAAAATAAGCAGAGGCAAGAAGATATTTACGGTATTTTCAAAGTAGGAGGCATTTATCTTGTAACAACATCCTATTCCATTCGCTCTGCTTCTATTGTACCAACATAATAAAAGATGCTGTCATTTTGTTCAGTGGATTTTGCTGCAGAAGCTACATTTGTCCACTGCATTCTGATTGGGTAACATTACAGATTTTTAATCAATCTGTGCATTTCAAAACGTATTATGTCACTGCAGCTGGGTCCTAAACACTCTGACCTACTTTTAAAAAAAAAGGAAAAAAATCAGAATCTCTCTCATAAAAATCAGTGTTGTTTTATCATTAATAACATTTTAGTCGTGGGTAGGGTGACCAGGTGTCTGGTTTTTGGTCCGGTCAGCGGTGCTGCGGTGCTAAGGCAGGCTAGTCCCTACCTGTCCTGGCACCGCGCTGTGTCCCGGAAGCAGCCAGCAGGTCCGGTCTGCACACTGCCCTCACCCCAAGCACTGACTCCGCACCCGCATTGGCCGGTAACTGGCCAATGGGGGTGGGGGGGTGCCTGCGGGCGAGAGTGGCGTGTGGAGCCTCCTGCCCCCCCACACACTCACACCTAGGACCTGGACCAGCTGGCTCCTTCCGGGGCACGCACAACGCAGTGCCAGGACAGTCAGGCAGCCTGCCTTAGCCCCCCCCCCCCGCTGCACCGCTGACCAGGAGCTGTCCGAGGTAAGCCAACACCCAACCCCCCTGCCCCAGCTGAGAGCCCCCTCCCACACCCTAACCCACTCATCCCCGGCCCCACCCCAGAGCCCTCACCCCCCCTGCCCCAGCCTAAAGCCCCCTCCCACACCCTGAACCCCAGCCCAGAGCCCATATCCCCTCCTGCATTCCAACCCCCCAGCTCTGAGCCTCCTCCTGCACCCCAGAGCCCTCACCCCCACCCCCTCCTGCACCCTGACCCCCTGCCTCTAACCGCAGCCTCCTCCTGCACTCCAGATCCCTCAGCCCCACCCCCCCAGCCTGGAGCCCCTCCTGCACCCCAAACCCTTCATCCACGGCCCCACCCCAGAGCCCACACCCCTGCCCCAGCCCAGTGAAAGTGAGCGAGGGTGGAGGAGAGCGAACCACCGAGAGAGGGGGAATGTAGTGAGTGGGGGGGTGGGGCATCAGGGAAGGGGCGGGGCTAGGGTGTTCAGTTTTGTGCAACTAGAAAGTTGGCAACCCTGGTCGTGGGTTAGTCCACCTTATCTGGCACCTTGTATGATCAGCTCTTCTTATTGTTGTAATGTTCAATGTGGGGAAAAGATCTTTGGATCAGGGAGGACAATTGAAAATACATTCTTTGTTAAAAGGAAATCAGTGGTACAATACATGTAATTCTAACAGTAAAGGCAATGAACGGTAAGTACATTATGGACCTGCACTTTTTTATTAGCACATTTATGAAACAATAGTTTTCCTTAGTTGCCTCCCTTTGGATCCAAAGCTTCCCAAGCCCCATTGCCCTAAAGATCTGGAATCTCCTGATTTTCAAGATATGCTGCAAAGCCCATCTGTTTGCTCAGGCTGTTGGAGGAGGACCGAGGGTATGGGGAAACTGCCCAATTTACTTACCTTCTTACAGGGGGGCCTATTTTAATTTTTTATATTTGATTGGCTAGTGGTCCTGTTACATTTCTGGATTTGGCTACATCGCTCAGTGGTTATTCTGCTTTTATGGAGAGGGATTTTAAACAGTTGTTCAGGCAACTTAGAATCTAGCCCATAGATATATTTTGTATGAATGATTAAAACCTTCCTCATATGAGGAGTCCCGCAGAAGGCTGCACATTGAAGAACTACTCATGTTGGTTAGGGGTGATCTCTCACATGCAAAGGGCTGAATGCTCTCAACTCCCTTTGGCCCACTCTTGTGCGGAGTGGAATTTCGTCTTTGACTCAGTGCAGCCCATTAACTTCATTGGAAGTTGAGAGCAGTCAGCACCTCCCGGGACAAGGTCATTAATCTGTACTGCTGTATGAGTGATATTAGCTGTAGCAGTCCGTGATAAACAGGTCGCAGAGACTAGCTTGATTTTAAATTAGAACTGCATATTTGAAGTATGGCAGTGTTGTCTAGTGGATAGAGCACTGACTGGAACTTAGAAGACGTGGGGTCTATTCTGAGCTCCGCCACTGGACTGGTGAGTAACCCTGGGCAAGTCACCTCATGCCTAGTTGCCTCATCTGTTAAATGGGGATAATGATACTTTGAAAAGTACTTTTAGATCTACTGATGACAAGCACTATATAAGAGGTAGGTATTGTTATTAATTAAAAATCATAACACCTTTAGTAAAGGATGAATTTTTAATCTGTCAAATATTAGTATGGCTAAGTGTGATGTCGCCAATGTACATTCCTGTTTTCTTGCAATTACAGTGCAAGTTGGAGTTTCATGCTTGTACTTCTGACAAAACTATCGCAGCACGATGTGAGGGGCCCTGCCCATGTCTTCCAGGACAAGAAAGCCCAAAACACAGAGCTGAGAAGACTGGTGAGTTCAGCTGTTGCATGCAATGTTAAGTGATTTACTGGGACTGCTTTGTTTTTAAGAAACCTTGAGATATTTTGTTTCTACCACTTGTTTCAGGAAGTGTTAAGAAAGTTATGTTGTCAGCTAGTGTATGACAAATCATTTTCTAAACGTAAAGTGCTTTCTTATTGAACTCTCAAACATCTTAACCGAGTGAAATTGGCACCCACTTTATAGATGGTGTCATAGAATACTTATGCTCTCGCTAATCATTATTAACAAGTATTATTTATTTTGAGTGGAAAATACTAAAGGCATAAAGTAAATTCCTCGATTCATATGATGGGGTGGCCTGCCCTTAAAGGGCCAGAGGCCTGGTGCTGGTCAGCCCCATACAGTTAGCTTTAGATGTCACACTTGGGATCAGGTGTATGATTTAATTAGTAGAACCAACTGGGTATGGAGAAATGGATTCTCCTATAAAGAGCAGCAGAAAGCTGCAGAGACGGGGATGCTCAGGGAGACAGTACAGAGTCTGCTGGGAATGAGTAGTCTCCAGCAGGGAGCCCTGAGTCTGCAGGGAAAAGGGTTCCAGGTAGGGAAGGCCTGGGAGATGCCAAGCAGGGTAGAGACTGGGAGAATGGCCTTGATAGGATTTTTGAAAACTTTATTTTGGGAATAATTTTATTATGTTAATAAATCCAGCCCCAAGGAGGGTTGTGCTACCCCAGAGAAGAATTGTTTGGCAGTTTGATGGAGATAGCCCTGAAAAGTGGGGAAACCGAGGCAGGGCTGCCACAGAGTGACATCAGGCCACAAGGGATCACTTGGGAGGCAGTTGGCCTGATGATATTCTTATATTAGAAGATAATATATGAGACTTTATTGTTCTCTCAAGGCGGCCTTTTTCCTTATAAAACTAGTACTAGTAGCTGAATGGGGGTTATGTGACAGATTCAGTAAGGAGGCCTAAAGCTGTACAGACACGAGTATTTGAGAGATTGGCTGGTTGACGCTGCGACAGTTCCAGTACATTAGCCGACTGATGCTGCATTACCGTATAGAGAAACTTAAAGGTAAAGGTCCCCACATGGATGGCTCTTCCCTCTGGCTGCCATGAGATCCATGCCTAGATCTGAAGACATCTGCAAGTTTCATGGGCTAATTCCCCTCACCTCAGCAATCATGAGCCATATAGGAATGGTCCAGTGTGAAGGGAATTGGTGCTTACAAAAGGAGCTTAAGTCCTATCTAACTATGAGACAGAGATGGCAGGGCAGCGGCAGCAACAGTGCAAGCTTCTCACAACTGCCCTGCCAATGTGCTTCAGCCCTCTTCTGGAGAGACAGAGCAAAAGGAGCTTTCTCTCTGGCTGTGACCCCACTGGACTTTTTTTTTCTTAACAGTGCAGCTCCACACGGGGGAGCAACAACAGCGGGGCTGCAGGTGTCCATTAGCATTTTAATTACACTGTTGTCTAATCCTCCTTAGAGGATTAGAGGATGTAGTGCTTAAAAGACCAACATAGGTGGCATCCTGTCTATAATATTGTTCCCCACTGTGCAGCTGCACCAGCGATAGTAACAATGGGAAATGTTAAGAACAAAATCATAGTGTAAAGAAGGCCTCTGAGGTCTTTCCATCCTCTGGCATTTCTGCTGAGATTGCTAACAAGGGTGCTGGTTGTAGTGCAGACACCTGGCTGGTAGGAACTAGGCTCTGGACTGCTGCCACCTATTTTCGCACGAAGCCACTGAAAAGCCAGTGCAGAAAGCCAGCATTAGGGCTTCCCTGTAACAGAAGCCTCACATTAAGAGTTTATGCGCTGCAGAGAGCCTTGTGCAGGTGCTAGGCAGCAGGGTGAATTTCACACTAAGGCTCTGATCCTGCAGAAAGTTAACCACATGCTTCATCATTAACTCCAGTAAGACTATTCACAGGCTTGACGTTGAGCAGAATTGAAGTCTTGGTGCATATAGCCATAATTTGCATACATAATTCCCCCCTCCATCCCCCCGCGCACACACACACAGATGCCTATTCAACTACACACGAAAGACCAAATCCTGCAGTACTTTCCTTTATGCAGGCAAAACTCAATTTGAAATCAGTAGGAGTTTTCCTTCCATAGAGACTATAGGATTTGCCACATAAAACCAGAATAACTTGTACTGAGACTGCTCTGTTTAGCAATACTCATATTACTGCAGTTTTTATTTTTTGAAAATTCCTCCAACACCACAAAGTAAACTTACACATTTAATGACTGCTCTGGAAAGATTTATCTTCTTTCTAGAACAATGAGGCATCATTCTCCAGCTAAGATTTTGAAAACTCAGCTTTATTCCCTCTTTTGGAAGGCATCAGTATTTTTTCTGCGCATCGGATTTGATGGACTACCAAGGATCAAACTTAGATGAAACATTTTAGCTGGTGAGATTCTGTAATACAATGTATAATTTCAATATTGCTTTATGTGGCCTGAATTATTTGTTTACAGAATACTCACTGATAAATTCATATTGTCTTTTTCTCTTTCACAGACACACTCACTTGTCTTCTAATAATCTGCTCCCTATATGACTCTTCGTTGCCCTTATCAGATATAGTATCAGATTAATAAATCTTCAGTGCCATTTAAGCTTACAGTTTCATTCAGACAACAGAAAAAATTCTAATAAACCTTATCTTGATCAATCCGGTTTGACAGGATGTATGTATTCTTCCGTCTAGACTATTGTTTTGCTTGTCTTTCAAACTTTTTAACTCCGCATGCAAAGCATTAACTTTAGGGCTTGGGTGATCTACACAGCTACTTTTCTGACTGCTGCTTCCTGGGGCCAAATTCTGGTTGACAGTGAGCAGTGAACTGGTGACAGCGGTAAGAATACATTAGATTAGTTCAATGACTGCCTCGATTCTGACCCACCCAGAAAGGCATGGAGAGAGCAGTCTGTGGGTCTTCTCTAGTTAACGTGGGGGGATATGGCCACATGGGAAATGAAGTCAGTATGTATATGTGTACATGAGTGCTCCAGCACAGGGATAGTCTCCTCCTGCATGCACAATATGTGCAAAGGAACTGCTCATAAGGCAGGCTACAGGTATATATTAGTGCCACTTTTGCAGCATCTACATGTGCTGGTTTTGTGAGCAGAGAGGATGGAAATCGGCTTCTCTGTGTTAGCCAGAATTTGACCGTTGGTGGGTTTATATAATTTACTGAAGCATTGAGCTACTGAGCAGGTGTGTATTATTGTAGGTGTGCCCTGTGCATATCCTTGGAAAACCCAGGTGACCAAAAGCCATGAAGGGTGCTCCAGGAATAGATACAAATGAAAATATCATGAGAGTCATCGCTGGCACCATAATTTGAATGAAAGATTATACAGTTCTTTTTGACATCTGCTACTATATCACCGTAACTTTGGGTGGCAGGTTAAACAGATGTTTTCTTCTTAAGTTAACAGGAGCTCTGAAAATTAGCCAGTAGAAACTACATTTTAAGAGATGCAATGTCAGTCATAGCTGTCTAGAGTGTTTGTTTGTCTTTAGAGGCCTACCCTTCTGATTCTGCAGCCACTCCACGCGCCGAGCTTCATTGTACCACAAGCAGAGCAGCTGCACAATCTGGCCTTATGCTTATAAACTCAGAGAGCCAAACGGAACCATTGTGTTAGTGGGCAATCCTCCACGGCTTCACAAGAGATATAGGCATATCTCTTAAATTTTCCTCAAGACCCTTCAATGTGCCTATTACACCAATTAATACATCCTTGGATTTACCCAGTTTCTTACACATGACCTCTGACTTTGGCTCATTAAGGTTCAGGTCATCTTCAGCTCATCGTTTGTGTGCTGTCAATCTTTTAACAAGAGGCTCCCACAAAAAATGTTTCTACTCGAGCATGGGAATAAGCCCCATATGCCAGTATCAATTATACCCCAGCTACAATTTTAGCAATATACAAAAAGGGAATCTGCAGTGTGTGTTGATCGTTCACTGGGTGGATAGTAGTCAGATCTGCTCAGGCTTGTGTGAGGATATTGAAGGCTTAATTGCTGACTTCAGAAGAGAGAAGCCTTAGTACTTCTACTTTTCATGGGCATTCTCCATTAGCTCAAGTGGTGGACACCTGTGCTTTTGCAGTAATATGCTCTGAGTTCTAGTCAAGCTAATACCCTTGAGATGTATCTGATCATGACATGTAGACCAGCTGACTACCATGAAGCGTCTCTGGTCACAGAATCATTAGAGTACAAAAACAAATGGTTTTCTCTCGTTAATGGCAGTATTTCAGACTTTCAATAAAAGGTGCAATCTGAGTTTGGGGTTAAGGTTGGTGGCTGTTGTTTTCTCCCATCTTTATTCTGAGCAAGAAGTTGTTGTTCCTGACTTTTCCCTGGACATTGGCTTTCTTTGATGTGAAAGAAGAGCTGTATGAAGTCATGTATGAAAGATGAATGCTTTAGTTTTCTTCATGCACTACAATTATATAATTAGCATTATCCTGCTGTGCTGGTATAAACAGCAGAAAGATTCTCAGATTAATTTATTTTCTCAAATGGGGTTTCAAGCAGTGGATTCATATAAAAGAATTGTGTTGACAGATGATACCCTATAGCCCGTTCCTTATTAGAAACCGAGTTTGTGAAATCCATTCAAACACAAGCATATTGTTAAAGAGAAATAGATAGAGACCTGAAGCTAATGCCTCACACAGGAATGTGAGTGAAAAAATACTAAAGAGAATTACACTACAAGCGCTTCCAGCAAAATGGAATTGCAGCTCCTTGAATATTGCATAAACTTTTCTATACCTATTGTGCAACAGGGTTAAACATATGTGCTTGCGAACTTCAATTTAAAGGCAGCTTTGTATTAATCTTTACACATTCATTCAATCATATTCAAATATTATTCCATAATAAATTACTTTCAGAAATTAAAAATGTAAAGGAACATTTAATTTTCAGAGTACTGTTATTCTAAATGTCATGACCTTTTTTTTATACGCTTGTGAATGGAATTGGCAGCAGCATCAAAGAAAAGCAATCTAAGTGTATGTGCTCTGAGGTACAATTGACTGCAGTGTTTGAGATATATTTCCCTATTCTTCCACTATGCTCCTACAAAAACAACCCAGCTTAGAGA